TGGATCGTTAGGAGATGTAAGTGCATCCTCTCTTGGACATAAATTAACTTCCTCATTGATATACGTAGGTTATTCGGGAGAGCGGTGAAATCGCGCTTAGCTGGGTAAAGGCACATGCACATACACTTGGGATCACCAATTCTCCTTCTCAAGATCCGCTCAAGCATCCACATCCCATTGACATTCATTTACATTTACCAAGTGGCGCAGTTAAGAAGGACGGCCCTTCTGCGGGTGTTGCATACGTCTGTGCCTTCGTGTCCCTTCTGACTGGATTGACGGTGTCCAAGTGGATCGCCATGACGGGGGAGACGACACTCCGGGGGAGAATTACTGCTGTTGGAGGAATTAAGGAGAAGGTAAGCCGTCATGTCACGGTAAATCGAGTTATTAATAAAAGTACCGTAGGTTCTCGGGGCTCATAGGGAAGGTATTCGCAAGGTCATCCTACCTCGCGCGAACAGGAAGGACGTCGAACATGATGTGCCTGCCGAAATTCACAGAAAAATGGAATTTGTGTATGTCAGCCGTGTAGAAGAGGCTTTAGAAGCCGCATTTGGACCAGGAATATTCCCCAGTGGCCAGAAGCCCAGTTTCCAAGTGGAGAGTAGACTATAGGTCGAAGTTCAAACTCGTACCACCACAACGCGCGAGAGTTGCCAGGGATCTACAGCCACTGTGATGGAATTCTATTTAATTTTTTGCATTTAGTATACTTGTATTGTCTTCTCCTATTGATGTGCTCAACATGTCGAAGAACGATTCTGATAATTCCCCGTCAACTGAAAGCCCCATCGGAAGAATCGCTCTCCATACTGCCGTAGACATTGAAGATCTTAGGATCAATCATTTTGTAAGCAAAGGGCTAAAATTACTCCGACGACTCGTTGAAAAGTTTTGTATGGGTCCAGGTTGCTCGCCCTTCGCCACTTAGACCTTCTCGTCTGATCTTAGCCTCTCACTTTGACGAAATCCTCGAAGGACTGTATTCAAACTCGATCCATACTTGTTACTTTACAACTTGGTGGAGACGAGGATGATGCAGACGCAGCCTTCACCGACGACTCCGACATCAGCATCGAGTTCGGCCTTTGTGGATGCAGATGAGACCCTCACAGTACCTCCGTT